TAGATCCATCAAAAAGACCAACTAGTAGAGAGCTTTATGATTTTGCTGAAAACAAACATGATGAAATTATTAAAAATAATAATGATAATGATACTACTAGTAGTGGTAGTGATTCGCAACAAGTACACGAATCACATCCAGATGCATATCATAAAAGTAGAATCTTAGATGAAGAGATTGCTAAATCAAAAAGCTTGAAAATTTATACAAGTAATGATAGTTCGTTAAATAGTCTTGATTTTAACTCTCTTCTCTTAAATGCTGAAGGTGAATAAAAATTTCATTATTAATTAATTAAATTACTATCCATTAATCATTACTAACAATATTTTTTATTTACATTAAATTCTAATAATTAAAAGAAATAATCGATGAATGACTAATTTAATCTCCACTATAAATTATTATTTGTCTTTTTATTTTATCTTTATTTTATTCTTAAAGCTAAATTATGATAATGTTTTGAATAATAAACTTTTTGATTCTTGTTATCATTTCAACCTTTTGACCACTCTTGTAAGTTAATTGCAAATAATTCAGTGCTTGTCAATTAATTAGTTTACAAACTTACTTTGGTTCACTTTTTCTTGACACTTAGACGAATCTGTGAGCACACCTAATGGTACCAGATAATTGTAAATAAATAAATATGGACTCAAGGGCTTCTATAAAGTCCTTTTTATTCATTTCTAATTGATTTATTCGTTTACATTCATTGGCCAATTGCAAACTCACTTTGGCTTACTTGCAAAACAACTTAAGTAGCTTGTTTAACAGCCTTGCATTTACAATTACAATAATATTACCAATATTTCCAATCAACCTTTGATGATGTTTCATTAACATCCACTAGTTAACCAATGTTAGTCCAAATCTTTGCTTACTCGCTAAAACAAATCACGTTACTAATCGTCATTAGTTAACCTAATCTTGCTTGCTTGCTCACTAAAGTAAATAAACGTGATTTTTTACCAAAGCTCCACAATTGTTACCTTTTACCATAGTACTAACTATACTTGTTGCTTTAAACAAAGAAAATAAAGATAATGCTTTTATTTTTATTTTTAAAAGTTTATCAACAATTAATTTTATTTAATAAAAATACAGTAAGAGGTGCTTAATTTATTTAACAATCCCAATTCTCCTGCTTGCTTGTACCTATAAAGCTGTAAGCCACAATAAAGCGTGGTCATTTAGAAAGCAGCAAATGTCTTTCTAAAGTTCCTTCTTTATTTGCTTTTACAGCTGATCCAAAGCTCCGTTAGTTTGTTTGTTCTCTTTATAAGACTCCTTGAGCTGCTTATTTAATAGCTGTACAATAACAATATGTGATAACAACTTCAGTTAATAACCGTCAGCACTTTATACTCTGCCGAACAACTTCAACACTTTTATGTTTACACGCAAACACTCAACTTTTTACAACCAAAACCTCGGAGACCTATGCCACTCTTATAAGCAATGGGCAATTAAACCCTACTGTTAAATTTTCAAACGAAAGTATTTGTTATTGAATTTGTGATATTATTTATTATAGAACGAATTATTTGTAAAAATAATTTTGCATTAATTTCTGCCTCTCTCTACTCCTAAAGGCAAGGTTCTCTGTTTATTCATTTAAGGTTGTTCTTGATAAAAAAAAAATACCATATGAATGCAATAATACATACAGAATCAACATCCTTGCATTTATTGACATTTCTCTTCTCTTTTTCCTGATATCATCATAGTTATCAATTCGTATTGATTATGTCCTGCCATTTACATAGTCATAAAGTCCATTATAGCTTATTTATAGCTTATTCCCACAATTATAAAATCACCCAAATTTATAATTTGGGAATTTCTCTCGTTTTAAAAATGGCTAGTTTTAAAACAGCCTTAGAATTATTGAAATACTATCGTTATTATGGATGCATTAAAAGAAAAAGTCAACTAACTCATTTAGAAAATGCTTGACTTTCCAAAATACAAAATAACTTTCAAAAATCATTCGTTTCTAAAGAAACATATAGGAGTCCTTGGATAAAGATTTTACAAAATATGTTATTATTGCAAAACCTAATAATTCTCAACAAAATACATATTTATGGTCTTCTGGATTTGAGGAATTTGTAAAAGACACACAACCAGATGCAGTAGATTTACTCATTCTTTATGATAAAAAGGTTATTGCAATGTTATTATGTGAATTTATTGTAGTCATAAAGACAAGAGACAAAAAGGAATATAAAGCAAATTCATTATACAATTGAATATGTATCATAAACCGATTTTATCAAGAAATAGTAATAGAGAATTATTTACGTGATATATTGCATACCAGAATGATAGTAATAGAATTGGAAGAAATTAATAATGGTGATTATAATGGGGCTGATACTCTTGCCGATGAAAAAATGCCACGATTTTTTGAACATCCGATATTAATATATCACATAGAATACCAGATGGATTATTGCAGTCTATCAGTTTATCATAATTTTCCTTCCATGACTATATATATCGTCATTATCATTGTCCGTTAGTATTAAGAATGACATATATCTGATGATGTTAGCTGGCTGATCTGTTAAGTCATTTATTAGCCGGTTAATCTATTTATTATATGATTAATCTGTTGGACCATTTATTAACCGGATAAGCTGATTAAGTCAGTTTAGTTAATGGAATGAGTGAGTGAGTGAGTTGTCGGGAAAACTCTCTGTTGGAGAAACGTATTGTCGGGAATCGTAGAAAATAGCAAACGAGATTAATGTTTTGTCTAATTGGTCAAGCCAGTCACCTGACTTGAGTTCAATTGAGCATCTGTGGTCAGAGTTGGAAAGAAGAATTAGAAGAAGTCCGAAAGATATTATCTAGTTGGAGTCTGCATTGCAAGAAGAATGGAGCAAAATTTCAAAAGATGTCCTAATATTAATAAAACAGATTGAAAGTACGCCGAAGAGAATCGAAGCAGTAATTGAAAATAATGTATGGTCAACAAAATATTGGGTTCATGCATGTATTCTTTATTAATTTATTTATTGATTATTATTATTATTATTATGTGCGTTTTCGGACAATTGAAAAATTTCTTTGGTGGCCAATTTTGATGACAAAGAAATTTTGATCGATAAAAATGTTAGGGTAAATGAAAATTATGCGCATATAATTTGGATGAACCTAAGCCGAAAGTGGTTTATTTAATTATTATCAAGTACGTTTTCGTGCAATTAATTAATTTTAAATGCGTGTCCCATATAAAAAAAGATAAAAATTAATTAATCAAATTAATACCAAATTTTTTTAAATTATTAGAAATTTGGTGATGTTCTTTGATAAGTCTAATTTGCATTTTAAAGTCAAAATAAAAAAGCATCAAGACTTTTGAAAAATTTTCATTATCGGCCTATTTTATGCGCGAATTTATGACGATTATGTGTAACATTGGCGCAATTCTATTTAAAAAAAAACAAATCAACAATTTTTCCTTTATTTCATTCATTGCTACAAAAATAAAAAATAATGCTTTATTTGCCATCAGAAATTTTATCTGAAATATTTAAACACATTGAAGATGATTATAAAACACTACATTCTTGCATTCTTGTTAATAAACAATGGCACATCCTTAATGTTCCAATTTTATGGAGAAATCCATTCTACTCTGTAGACAGTGGAAAAATAATAATCAATTGTTTATTATTAGAAGACGAGAATTTCTTAAAGGAAAACAAGATTAAATTAATTTTCGATCTACTGGAGAAACCACCATTACACAATTATATAGAGTTTACCACAGAATTAGATTTTATCCAGTGCAATGAAAATTTGCATCAGATACTAATCGATCCAATGTTTGTTAAAATTAATTGTTTAAAAGAAAGATTGGTAAAATTCATTTTAGATCATTCAAAAATCAGAAAATTCAGAACTACCAATTTGGAGTGCAAATGGCTGGTCAATCATTGTAGATTTGATACTTGTTTTCAAAATCTATATGAAGTGATATGTCGTTTTTCTAATAGCTCTGAATATATTGATAAATTAGCAAAAACTTGTAAAAATATCCAAGTTTTAGAAATAGAATATGATGGTTATTGTTCTTATAATAACAATATTGATTATAATCTAGCTCAGCTAATCAAAGCACAAAATAAGATCAAGCAATTAATTATTAGTTCATACAATCTTAATTTAATTTTATCGGCCGATTTCAAAAACGCAATTTCAATTCATTCAGACTCGATATTTTATTATAATAGTTATGGAAACAATAATTTGGATTCTTTAATACCAACGTTTAAAAATTTGAAAGCTTTATCATTAACAAATTATTATAGAAATTCAAGTGGCAACAAAATAAAAGATATAAATTCCATCTCATTCCCCAATATTGAGAGCATAGAGATAGAACTTTATAATCAGCCATTTCTATTAAATTTGTTGGATTTCATAAAAATAAACGGAAAGAGTCTTAAGGTTTTGAAAGTTAATGGTAAACCAACAGATAAAGAATATTTAGTAGGACTGATTGAATCAATTGGTCAAAATTGTCAAAATTTAGAAAATTTATCTATATTTTTCAAGAATGATGCAAATCATTTGATTGAAATATTTAATAATTGTGAAAAATTAAAATTAATTAAATTGAAAGGATTTAATGGGGATTGTACATTTGATGGTGATAAGATTTTTACGGTTTTAAGTCAAACTTTGCCAAAAAATTTAAGCACTATAGTGTTTTCACATAAGGTTGTTTTTTCCGATGGTTCAATGGAATTTTTAATGAACAATTGGAAAGGTCCCAGACCTTTTAAGTTGGAATTTAGAAACAAAGAATTTTCTTCTTTGGAGAGACAGTTATTAAAAAAATATCAAGATGTAGGATTTTTAAAATAACAAATTTATTAACAATAATATGTATATTAATAACAATTAACTTATAATGAAGAAAAAAAATTTTTTTTTTTTTGGACAAATTATTTATTTAACAATTAAAATACATACATTATAATTCAGATAAGTTTTAATTTGGATTTTTTAGCAAAAGTTTCATAGAATTCAATCATTTCAGGTGTAATGCGTTTTGATAAATTATTTAAAGCTCTAACAAAATGTCTACGACACACCTGAATAAATAAATATTATAAAATGAGTATATATATGTGCAAGTGTTAATATATATGTGCATACTTACTTGAGTTATATTAATATCTTCTTCCATGGCATTTAAAGCTGATTCTTGACACAAAGAAACAATTTCTGCACCTGAACATCCTTCAGTCTTTGTAACAAAAAAGAAAAATTCAATTAATTATTTATAAATAATATTTATGATAATATAAATATGATAATTACTCGATTTGCTAATTCGTCAATATCGACATCATTTGAATGGGACATTTTATTTAATTGTATATTAAATATTTCTTTTCGTGATAAAAAATCAGGTAATCCAACATATAATATTCTATCTATACGACCTGGTCTTAACAAAGCACTATCCTAATAAATAATAAAATTATTAAGGATAATTATATAGATTCATTATTTTATTTATTAATTAATTAATTATAACTCTTTACCATTATATCAGGTCTATTTGTAGCAGCTACGATAGTAACATTATTTAAAACCTCTATACCATCCATTTCATTTAACAATTGTGATAATACTCTATCACCAACTGATGTACCACCACCACCACCTTCACCAATTCCACGCTTAACTGTTAAAGCATCAATTTCATCCTAATATATATATATGTATAATATTAAATAAATAGCAATTGGTTTATCAACTTATAAAATTAAATAGTTGATACTAACAAAAAATATAATGGATGGTGATGCGGCTCTTGCTTTACGAAATATTTCACGGACTGCTTTCTCTGATTCACCAACCCATTTACTAAATAACTAAATACAACAATATTATTTTTTTATGATTATATTATTGTTACTATTCACATTGAAATTCACAATAAAATTACCTCGGGACCTTTAACAGCTATGAAATTCAAATTTGCTTCAGTTGCTAATGCTTTTGCCATTAATGTTTTACTACAACCAGGTGGGCCATACATTAATATACCTTTTGGTGGCTTGATACCTAAATTTTTAAATTTCTCCGAATACTTTAATGGCCATTCAATGCTCTCTTTTAGCTTTTGTTTAATTTCATTTTGTCCACCAACATCTTTCCAATAAACTTTTGGTATTTCTAATATTATTTCCCTCATTGCACTTGGTCTAACTTTTAACATCGCATCCTCTAAATCTTTTAATGTAATCTTAATATCATCTTTATCATTTTTGTTGTTGTTGTCCTCGTCATTACCATCAATATTATTCCTAACTCTATTTTTTATAACTTTTAATCCAGCTTCTCTACAAATTGCTGACAAATCCGCCCCAACATAACCATGTAGTTTTGATGAAAATGATTCAATTTCATCAATTGTTAATGAGCTTGGAATATCTTTCAATAAAGTTTGTAATATTAATGATCTTGAATGGGAATTGGGAATTCCTATGGAAAAGGAGAAAAACAATATCCATGTATTGTAAATTGTATATTCTCCAAATATTATATTATATTTTTCAACATAATTTATTAATGACTTACCAATTTCAATTTCTTTGTCGAATCTTCCAGGTCTTCTTAATGCCTCGTCCAACGAATTGGGCCGATTGGTAGAACCAATAACAATCACTTTACCATTTTTATCATCACCTTTGTTTGATATACCATCCATCAATGTAAGCATCATGGCAACCACACGTTTACTTGATTCATTATTAACCTGATAATAATGATAATAATAATAATAATATAAGCAATATGAGTAAGAAGTTTATATGATTGAATTAATAAAGTATTATTGTTTTTGTTATGTATGATTATTATGATTGTCTTAACATTACTTGGTCTCTTTTTGGACATAAAGCATCAATTTCATCTATAAATATTATTGAAGGTGAGTTTTCCAATGCCTTTTCAAAAATACTCTTCAACTTGAAAGTAGATAAATTAATAATTAAATAAACAATTATATTTAAAATTATATTAATAATTCCCAGATTGTTTCCCCAAAATTTAAATTAAATTAAATTCGTCCACCTTTGATTCTGTTTCACCATAATATTTGCTAATAACCTCAGGACCATTTATGAAAATTTTGTATGAATTTGTTTCTGATGCCACTGCATTAAATATCAATGTTTTGCCAGTACCAGATGGTCCATATAAAAGTATTCCTTTTGGTGGATTTAATCCTAAAATTTTAAAGTTTTGTAAATGATTTATAATCTTTTTTCCCCTCTAAACTCCAATTCTAATATTACCAATTAAATTATTTTACCAAATTCTTTAAATAAATTATAATTGTTGAATGCATTTTCGATAATTTCTTTAATAATCTTGATTTCTTTATCCAATCCACCAATTGAATCATATCCAATAATTTTATCAATTTTATCAATATTATTATGATTATTACTATTACTACTTGAATTATTCTATAATATATATATGTGTGTGTTTGTGTGTAAATGGTTTGATTAAATAGACCTTTTCTCTAAATTTTTAATATTTATTTTTGAAAGAAAAACTTAGATATTAAAATTACATTTGATAAAATAGTAAGATTTATTCCTCTTGTGACCTCATAAATTATTTCTTCTTCTTCCTTATAATCATCATTAGGCTCACCAACACTTTCTTTATTACTATTATTTTTGTTAAGTGAAGATGATGATGTAATAATTTCAATTATAATAAATTTTAAATTATTTCCATGATATCGAAATTCTATTAAATTTCCTTTTATTAAATATCTAATATTTACTTTTGATTATTTATAAAAATAACATTAGTAAATAAAATTAATTTGATCATACAAATATATATTAATATATTTACTTAGAATTTCTTTGGTAAATATTGTCAATAATTCGTCAACTTTATTGTTGTTGTTGCTGTTTGTGATGTTATTTAATATTATTTTATTTGATTTATGAATTTTATTGTAATCAATCTTTTTGATTATTGCAATTTCTCCATTTTTAAGATTTGTATTTAATAATTGTAATTTATTTAACTGCAAATCTAAATAACAATAGTTATTGTTAATAATAATATTATTATTATTGTTATTTGGAAAAAAATTAATTATAATTAGGTACTTGCTTGATTTTGCTAGTTTAAATGACGGCCATGCAATTCCTACTAGAAACTAATTAATTAATTAATTATAAATTTAATTTAATTGTCCTTCTTTTTATATTCTTTTTCTTACCTTTTTCCCCTCTTCACTATTCTTAATTAATATATTTTCACCCGTGAAAATTTTATTTTCTCTCATAGTCTCAACATTTATATATATTCTTTTATTTGTAACATTATAATTGTAATTATAATTGATTTCTTTTTCTTCCTGAACGATCAATTTAATCAATTTTTGATTGTTAATCATGATTTTTTTTTTCGAAAGAAAATTCAAAAAAAAAAATGCACAAATAGTTGCTTTTTTGGTAATTCTCACAACATACGGCGCAGATCATCTATTACTATTATTATTATTATACACAATAGTCGGACACAGCAATCAGTTGTTTAAAGTACAAACAAATAAATGACCGACCGGCTTATATGGTCAGCTAAAACAAGAAATTTCTATTGTTGATGACTCGCACTTTAAAACTTATCGGCTAGCTTTTTCTTAAACTATCAATTGACCGAGCTTTGAAAAATTCCAAAATGGAATGTTCAAAAATTGTAACACGCAACCACTAATGAATTCATTCATTCTCCTTGATTGGTTTGTACATATTATATTTGATTTTTTTCTATTATTATTATTGCCAAAACAATGGAAATAAAAACTTCTTGGTTAACCAAATTTAGATTAGTTTCAGTTTTTATTTACAATGCATAACTATATAAAATGCTTCATTCTCTTTTTAAAAAAAACATGTATCCATCCATTCATTAATCACTTCTAACCATTTACAACTAAATTTACAATATGCGTTCCTTCAAATCTTTAAAGCAACTTCCTACTTTCTTTAAAAAAGAAATTTCGACAAATAGTAAAATTAATACTCTCACCCATAAATCTATTTTTCTTAAATCATACTCAACATCGTATAAACCTTTATTTCCCAACAATGACAACAACATCAAGAATAATAATACTATTAATTATACTCGTCATTATAGCGGATCTGTGATCACAAACTTCAACAACTTAAACCAACCAATATCAACAACTACCACCAACATCAACAAGAAAACTCCAGAGGATTTTCGCTCCACATCTCCCGAATATTACTCAGAAAATCGACAATACCACTCGAGCAAAAAAGCTAATACAACGGCAAATGAGATGACTTCAGAGATTGAAGATGAAACTCACATTACTGATATCACGGAAAAAATGAAACGGTATGTTCAACCCACCCCAAACTTACTGCACACGAACTGTTTTGCATACTTGTACATTAATTATTGTACATTAATTAAAAAATCTTTTTTAATTAAAGTGACAATATGGGCGAAATTAAAGATGCAAAATTAATTTTTAATCAATCGTGGAGGAATGTCGAAGCTACCTTTGGGCGTGAAAATATTTGGTAATGATTCAAATTGTTATTTATATATAATAATTCTAATAATGCTAATCAACAACAATAAATTAGCCTTCCAAGAGAAATCATCTGGTTGATGGGAGCACCCGGTAGTGGAAAGGGAACACACACAAATTCAATTTTGAAAGCTCGTGGCATTACAAATCCTGCAGTTTGCATGTCAGAGCTTTTACGTTCGCCAGATTGTCTAGATTTAATCAATAAAGGACAAATGATAAGTATGTGATTCATTATTTCTTTTTTATTGGAAAAATAAAAAAATTTACATTAATAAATAATAAATAAATAAACAGGTGATGGAAAAGTCCTTGAAAGCTTGTTTCGTGCACTCCTTAAATGTGATCCGTCTGTTGGATGTTTGATTGATGGATTTCCGCGAACAGAGATCCAAGTGGAATGTTTAAAATTATTATACGACAAAATGCATGAATTGAGACGTGAATTTTGGGATACACCTTTGAGAGATCGATTCCCGTAATTATCGACATTATTATTATCATTCCTATTATTATTATAACATTGATTAATATTGTCAATTTCCGTAAAAATTTTTTAGTCGTCCAACATTTAGAATTTGTGTTTTATATGTTGACGAAGATATATCAGTCGCTAGACAATTGTTGAGAGGCAAGCAAACCCGTGATAATAATAAACGAGTCAGACAAACTGGGGAAGGTCAATTGATGGAAGAACGTGTAACTGATTTTGACGAGTTGGTAGGTAGATAAGTTATTGTAGTAGTAATAATAGTGTTTGGTGGTAATGATGATGATGTTAAATTATAGATGATTTAAAATACAATCATAATAATTATAAATATTATCATTATAGTTGATTCGCTCTCGGTATAAAATCTTCAAGAAACATTATGGCGCATTATTAAGACTTCGCGAGATCTTTCCATTTCGTAAGTTTTTTTAAAAATAATTTAATTGATCAAGAATGTCACATTCTAACTTATCATTATTATCAATGGTTTTTATTATGATTCTTTAGATCTGATTAATGCAGTTGGTACAATTGACGAAGTGATGCACGTGATCTTGAGGGAATTCGAATACCAAAGCTCGCTTGAATTAGGTCAGTTATATTTATGCATCAATATAATACAAGCATACACACACTCATTTATTAATATTTCCTCTGATATGAAATATTTTTATATAAATATATTATAGATCATAGAACATATGACGCAATTGCACACATTCCACTTGCAACAAAAATTAGTATACATGCCAGGCAGGAATTAATAAGTCGTCTAGAACATTATGAGGAGTATGAGGCTGAATTATTTAAAAGGGCAATTAAATTCATTGATAAGCAAGTTATACCAATGGTTCAAAGGCACGCAATTAGTGGACAAGCACTTATTAGAACGTATGTAAAATACTAATATTAATATCATATAATCCTTTCTCTTTTAAAAATAATAAGATAAATAAATATACAAATATCTTATAGAACATCTCATGAATTTGAAGATCAACATTTAGTTGACATGATAATGGATGTATTGTCGGAACGTGGATTTCACGTAATGTTTGATGATAGGGTTCGTGAACTACCAGTTAGAATTGATATGAAGACACATGAAATTATTCTTGAAAAGTAAGGAAAAATATTAATTATCATTATATATAACGTAATAATAACAAGAGGAATAATAATAATATATTCATTAATTGTTGCTTGTATAGACGACATGATTATTTATTTAGTGTTCGCTTTCCTAAACGTATAATTCAACCACTTGAACAAAAATTTCATTAATCATATCATCATCATTGTTATTATTATCATTATTGGTGGCAAGTAAAATTTTTTTAGAAAAACTTTTTGATTTTTTTAAAAAAAATAGAGCATTTATTAGATGATAGATTTAAATTTTATTTTATTTTTTTAATTCATGTATATTTTATTCATCAAAATTATTAATAGATTTCATTTTTCATATTTATATTTATAATAACTATTCATTGGGTTTGTGATTGAGATTAGGGTTAGAACTTTTAGAAAAAACTGAACAATAGAAAAATTTAGATTTAAGATTAAAGCACAAAAATATATAAAATGTATAAATTATTAACAAAAAACAATCTCTTTAAAAAATTTAATCTCTATCATCATTGCTATTATAAAATTATAATTACTATATAAAGTAAAATGTTAAAGAAACAAAAATAACACTAGTAATTATATTAATCTAATCGTTATATATAAAGATTTATTTTTATTTGCTGCGAATAGATCAAGTATTTTGAAATTTTACCACGTAATTTTGATAAAGAATATCCATAAAGGATGGATCTCTCTAATTATTAATAGTTAATTAATATCATTATTGGAAAGAAAAGATTATTATTAAATTAAAACATTATTTTATAATAAAAAACAATGCATGAATATTACCTGAATTAATTGAAGATATTGTTGCACAAATTCTTGTTTAGTCAAAATTCTTTTTCTTATGTTATTAATTCCATTTGAATCGTATTCATTAATAAATTTGTTAAGTGTTGGAATTGAGATATCTAAAGCTAGATTACGTTTCAATCCATCATTACTACTACTGCTACTACTACTATTATTATTATTACTAATACTATCATTAATAATGACATTTTTATTGCTGGATAAATTATTAGGATTCTTTACGTTGGTTAGTAGTAATGATTCTGGATTATAATTAATATTATTGATAATATTATTATGATTTACTGGTGATTGTGCAGTGGTGGAAGGTGCAGACGAAAGTCCGGGTGCCCTAGGTGCATTTCTGAGTTGAATGGAAGAAGAAGATAACATTGATTTGACTGGCACCGACGAGAAATTATTATTCTGTGGAGATAAAGAACGTTGTTGTTGATAGTTGAAATAAGTATTAGTTGAGGAGGTTGTTGGGTTTGATGATAATTTAGTTGTACCATTAGTGGTTGACAATGAAGATGAAGCAGATGAAGAAGTAGATGATGATGATAGCGGTAGTTGATGATTGAGATTCGAATGAGAATTTGAATTAGAACGAGAATGAGGATTCGTTGTAGTAGGTTGATGAAGTAACTCTAATAATAGTTTTCCATCGAGAACATTTTGAGGTGTTGTTGATACATTCTAATTTACGATTGGATGGATGAATGGGTGGATTAGTGGGTGGATGAAATGTAAATGTAAAGTGTAAATAATTAAATATAAAGAAATACATATTTATTTAATATCTTACAGTTATTGCTGGAGGAGTATGATATCTTCGTGGAAGATCATCTATTATGTTTCTTTTTGGTGGTGGTGGCGTTTTAATATTAAATAATTCAAGTAAATCTTTCGAATGACGATCATTTGGAATAGATGTTGGCTTATAAGAAAATGTGGATGATGTTGTTGACGATGAAGATCCAGCATTATTAGCAATAGTATTAGAAGTAGTAGTATTATATAAAGGTGTATTCGTTAATATGTAATGATCATTGTTTTCTTTTATTTCGGCTTTTTGTAGAAGGTTAATTATGTCGACTTGTTTTTCAGACGTTTTTTGATTCTTTGAGGTCGTAATTGTCGTCTTGGAAGAAGAATTTAGAGAAAGTTGAGGTGGGAGCGTTATTATCAATGATAACTCGCGACATCTATTAATTATACCAATAAACAATATAATTATTGTATAAGTGTATACACATACATGCACATATATATAGTCATATAATCAATAAATTATCTGTACTTCTTCATAGATTTTCCTATACGATCTCGATCTTTTGGTTCAAAGATCCAAATTCCATGGATAACATCTGGCATCCAAATTATACTTAATTACCACAGAATTGGCCACTTTTTTTTATTTGTGTTTTTAATAATGAATAAAAAAAATCACTGACTAGATTTAAAATATCAAATTCTTTCAACTATACCATCATCTGTACGATATATTATATATTCGTCTTTAAATTCTAGATCCATATTGTCTACTAGAGGTGCCATGAAATTGTCAAGGCCAAGTCGATTCATCACTATAAATCCAAAAACTGGTTGTATGGATCTATTGGAAAATTTCACATAAGAATATAATTTATGATGGATGATGATGATGATGATAATAAAAACAACCTTTTAAAAACAAACATTGTTCCTTCTACACCTTTCTTTGTCTAAAAAAAAAATTGTCCTAATTAACTAATATTAGAACAAAATAATCCGTACTAACTTCTAAATGTAATTTATAAATACCCATGTAGATTGGTCACGATCAAATAAATAAACTACAACATGACTAGAAGTGTCAATAATTTCAACAATGTATTCGTCGTGTCGTTTTAATACACTTAAATTAACAGCATTTCTAGCTGCAAAATCCATTTTAATCTCGATCCTGCTGTATTCTAAAAGATTCTAAAAAATTCTAAAAAAGAAGGAATAATAATTTAAATAATTTAATAATCTTCAACTGTAACACCATAAAGATCAAGTTTTATTTTAAAAAACCCATGATTTTATGTTTGTATGACAATGTTATAATTATGTGGCTTAGAAATGATGAAGACGCGCCACCAAAAATTTTAATTGATTGATTTGATTGATATATGAAAGAAAAAGAAATTTGGGGGTGGCAATCATAACTTTTCTTTGCCATTGTTGGCATCATGGGTAATTTTTTAATTCGGAATCACAAAAATTCGGCATTCACCCATTTTTTCCCAGGAATTCTTTTCTATAATTGATTAGATTTACTCATTTCATAATAATAATAATAAAGAAATCTGGGAATCTCATCTTTAACAATCATTAAAATTTATTTATCCTGTAATTTTTTGCATTACATCTACATCAATTATTAACTTTAACTTATTGATGTTTACCTTGTCTTGAAAAAATTAATTTTACTCTAATCTAGTACTTGTATATATATAGCCCAGGATTAATAACATCGCTTCGAAATTCAACTTCGCCTTAACATAAACTAGTCTGATTTTAGAAATAATCTGCAGTTGATGCTAGCACGCGCCGATTCCGCCGATTGAATTTCGAGCATTGTATTCATTCTCTATTAACAAGTCTTAAATGTTGGCAGTATATTGCGATCTTGAGTCTATACTTTGTTCGTTTCTTAATAAAATTTTCTAATATAGACAAAGAAAATTTGTTATTACTGTCTTTCACCAGGAATTTCATCATCAAGGGTCAGATTGTCTATAATATCAGTCAGTACTTTCTAAATAGAAGATACATTACTAGAAAGAATTATTTGGCGAAGCAATGTAATTTTACATATTTTTATTACATAAAATCAATTTTGCATTTCCGGTATAAAATGATGGTTTAGTTTTCAAAGCAGCTATATTTGTAAATTGAATTAATTGGATAGTTCTTTTCTAAATCATTATTAATCCGCCGTCTTCATTATCGCCTTAATTACTTGAATCATGTTCTTCACTTTATTATAATAATTATTTGACTTTCATCACCAAATTAATTCTCAATTTGAACTTTATTATTTAATAAATAACTAACCTTTTTTTAATTAATTATCTTGCATTCTTGACTGAATTTATACTTAAATGGACAAGGCATTATAAAAGTTAAAATAAACCCCATATTCGGGAGATGTGGAGCGAAAATCCTCTGGAGTTTTCTTGTTGATGTTGGTGGTAGTTGTTGATATTGGTTGGTTTAAGTTGTTGAAGTTTGTGATCACAGATCCGCTATAATGACGAGTATAATTAATAGTATTATTATTCTTGATGTTGTTGTCATTGTTGGGAAATAAAGGTTTATACGATGTTGAGTATGATTTAAGAAAAATAGATTTATGGGTGAGAGTATTAATTTTACTATTTGTCGAAATTTCTTTTTTAAAGAAAGTAGGAAGTTGCTTTAAAGATTTGAAGGAACGCATATTGTAAATTTAGTTGTAAATGGTTAGAAGTGATTAATGAATGGATGGATACATGTTTTTTTTAAAAAGAGAATGAAGCATTTTATATAGTTATGCATTGTAAATAAAAACTGAAACTAATCTAAATTTGGTTAACCAAGAAGTTTTTATTTCCATTGTTTTGGCAATAATAATAATAGAAAAAAATCAAATATAATATGTACAAACCAATCAAGGAGAATGAATGAATTCATTAGTGGTTGCGTGTTACAATTTTTGAACATTCCATTTTGGAATTTTTCAAAGCTCGGTCAATTGATAGTTTAAGAAAAAGCTAGCCGATAAGTTTTAAAGTGCGAGTCATCAACAATAGAAATTTCTTGTTTTAGCTGACCATATAAGCCGGTCGGTCATTTATTTGTTTGTACTTTAAACAACTGATTGCTGTGTCCGACTATTGTGTATAATAATAATAATAGTAATAGATGATCTGCGCCGTATGTTGTGAGAATTACCAAAAAAGCAACTATTTGTGCATTTTTTTTTTTGAATTTTCTTTCGAAAAAAAAAATCATGATTAACAATCAAAAATTGATTAAATTGATCGTTCAGGAAGAAAAAGAAATCAATTATAATTACAATTATAATGTTACAAATAAAAGAATATATATAAATGTTGAGACTATGAGAGAAAATAAAATTTTCACGGGTGAAAATATATTAATTAAGAATAGTGAAGAGGGGAAAAAGGTAAGAAAAAGAATATAAAAAGAAGGACAATTAAATTAAATTTATAATTAATTAATTAATTAGTTTCTAGTAGGAATTGCATGGCCGTCATTTAAACTAGCAAAATCAAGCAAGTACCTAATTATAATTAATTTTTTTCCAAATAACAATAATAATAATATTATTATTAACAATAACTATTGTTATTTAGATTTGCAGTTAAATAAATTACAATTATTAAATACAAATCTTAAAAATGGAGAAATTGCAATAATCAAAAAGATTGATTACAATAAAATTCATAAATCAAATAAAATAATATTAAATAACATCACAAACAGCAACAACAACAATAAAGTTGACGAATTATTGACAATATTTACCAAAGAAATTCTAAGTAAATATATTAATATATATTTGTATGATCAAATTAATTTTATTTACTAATGTTATTTTTATAAATAATCAAAAGTAAATATTAGATATTTAATAAAAGGAAATTTAATAGAATTTCGATATCATGGAAATAATTTAAAATTTATTATAATTGAAATTATTACATCATCATCTTCACTTAACAAAAATAATAGTAATAAAGAAAGTGTTGGTGAGCCTAATGATGATTATAAGGAAGAAGAAGAAATAATTTATGAGGTCACAAGAGGAATAAATCTTACTATTTTATCAAATGTAATTTTAATATCTAAGTTTTTCTTTCAAAAATAAATATTAAAAATTTAGAGAAAAGGTCTATTTAATCAAACCATTTACACACAAACACACACATATATATATTATAGAATAATTCAAGTAGTAATAGTAATAATCATAATAATATTGATAAAATTGATAAAATTATTGGATATGATTCAATTGGTGGATTGGATAAAGAAATCAAGATTATTAAAGAAATTATCGAAAATGCATTCAACAATTATAATTTATTTAAAGAATTTGGTAAAATAATTTAATTGGTAATATTAGAATTGGAGTTTAGAGGGGAAAAAAGATTATAAATCATTTACAAAACTTTAAAATTTTAGGATTAAATCCACCAAAAGGAATACTTTTATATGGACCATCTGGTACTGGCAAAACATTGATATTTAATGCAGTGGCATCAGAAACAAATTCATACAAAATTTTCATAAATGGTCCTGAGGTTATTAGCAAATATTATGGTGAAACAGAATCAAAGGTGGACGAATTTAATTTAATTTAAATTTTGGGGAAACAATCTGGGAATTATTAATATAATTTTAAATATAATTGTTTATTTAATTATTAATTTATCTACTTTCAAGTTGAAGAGTATTTTTGAAAAGGCATTGGAAAACTCACCTTCAATAATATTTATAGATGAAATTGATGCTTTATGTCCAAAAAGAGACCAAGTAATGTTAAGACAATCATAATAATCATACATAACAAAAACAATAATACTTTATTAATTCAATCATATAAACTTCTTACTCATATTGCTTATATTATTATTATTATTATCATTATTATCAGGTTAATAATGAATCAAGTAAACGTGTGGTTGCCATGATGCTTACATTGATGGATGGTATATCAAACAAAGGTGATGATAAAAATGGTAAAGTGATTGTTATTGGTTCTACCAATCGGCCCAATTCGTTGGACGAGGCATTAAGAAGACCTGGAAGATTCGACAAAGAAATTGAAATTGGTAAGTCATTAATAAATTATGTTGAAAAATATAATATAATATTTGGAGAATATACAATTTACAATACATGGATATTGTTTTTCTCCTTTTCCATAGGAATTCCCAATTCCCATTCAAGATCATTAATATTACAAACTTTATTGAAAGATATTCCAAGCTCATTAACAATTGATGAAATTGAATCATTTTCATCAAAACTACATGGTTATGTTGGGGCGGATTTGTCAGCAATTTGTAGAGAAGCTGGATTAAAAGTTATAAAAAATAGAGTTAGGAATAATATTGATGGTAATGACGAGGACAACAACAACAAAAATGATAAAGATGATATTAAGATTACATTAAAAGATTTAGAGGATGCGATGTTAAAAGTTAGACCAAGTGCAATGAGGGAAATAATATTAGAAATACCAAAAGTTTATTGGAAAGATGTTGGTGGACAAAATGAAATTAAACAAAAGCTAAAAGAGAGCATTGAATGGCCATTAAAGTATTCGGAGAAATTTAAAAATTTAGGTATCAAGCCACCAAAAGGTATATTAATGTATGGCCCACCTGGTTGTAGTAAAACATTAATGGCAAAAGCATTAGCAACTGAAGCAAATTTGAATTTCATAGCTGTTAAAGGTCCCGAGGTAATTTTATTGTGAATTTCAATGTGAATAGTAACAATAATATAATCATAAAAAAATAATATTGTTGTATTTAGTTATTTAGTAAATGGGTTGGTGAATCAGAGAAAGCAGTCCGTGAAATATTTCGTAAAGCAAGAGCCGCATCACCATCCATTATATTTTTTGTTAGTATCAACTATTTAATTTTATAAGTTGATAAACCAATTGCTATTTATTTAATATTATACATATATATATATTAGGATGAAATTGATGCTTTAACAGTTAAGCGTGGAATTGGTGAAGGTGGTGGTGGTGGTACATCAGTTGGTGATAGAGTATTATCACAATTGTTAAATGAAATGGATGGTATAGAGGTTTTAAATAATGTTACTATCGTAGCTGCTACAAATAGACCTGATATAATGGTAAAGAGTTATAATTAATTAATTAATAAATAAAATAATGAATCTATATAATTATCCTTAATAATTTTATTATTTATTAGGATAGTGCTTTGTTAAGACCAGGTCGTATAGATAGAATATTATATGTTGGATTACCTGATTTTTTATCACGAAAAGAAATATTTAATATACAATTAAATAAAATGTCCCATTCAAATGATGTCGATATTGACGAATTAGCAAATCGAGTAATTATCATATTTATATTATCATAAATATTATTTATAAATAATTAATTGAATTTTTCTTTTTTGTTACAAAGACTGAAGGATGTTCAGGTGCAGAAATTGTTTCTTTGTGTCAAGAATCAGCTTTAAATGCCATGGAAGAAGATATTAATATAACTCAAGTAAGTATGCACATATATATTAACACTTGCACATATATATACTCATTTTATAATATTTATTTATTCAGGTGTGTCGTAGACATTTTGTTAGAGCTTTAAATAATTTATCAAAACGCATTACACCTGAAATGATTGAATTCTATGAAACTTTTGCTAAAAAATCCAAATTAAAACTTATCTGAATTATAATGTATGTATTTTAATTGTTAAATAAATAATTTGTCCAAAAAAAAAAAAATTTTTTTTCTTCATTATAAGTTAATTGTTATTAATATACATATTATTGTTAATAAATTTGTTATTTTAAAAATCCTACATCTTGATATTTTTTTAATAACTGTCTCTCCAAAGAAGAAAATTCTTTGTTTCTAAATTCCAACTTAAAAGGTCTGGGACCTTTCCAATTGTTCATTAAAAATTCCATTGAACCATCGGAAAAAACAACCTTATGTGAAAACACTATAGTGCTTAAATTTTTTGGCAAAGTTTGACTTAAAACCGTAAAAATCTTATCACCATCAAATGTACAATCCCCATTAAATCCTTTCAATTTAATTAATTTTAATTTTTCACAATTATTAAATATTTCAATCAAATGATTTGCATCATTCTTGAAAAATATAGATAAATTTTCTAAATTTTGACAATTTTGACCAATTGATTCAATCAGTCCTACTAAATATTCTTTATCTGTTGGTTTACCATTAACTTTCAAAACCTTAAGACTCTTTCCGTTTATTTTTATGAAATCCAACAAATTTAATAGAAATGGCTGATTATAAAGTTCTATCTCTATGCTCTCAATATTGGGGAATGAGATGGAATTTATATCTTTTATTTTGTTGCCACTTGAATTTCTATAATAATTTGTTAATGATAAAGCTTTCAAATTTTTAAACGTTGGTATTAAAGAATCCAAATTATTGTTTCCATAACTATTATAATAAAATATCGAGTCTGAATGAATTGAAATTGCGTTTTTGAAATCGGCCGATAAAATTAAATTAAGATTGTATGAACTAATAATTAATTGCTTGATCTTATTTTGTGCTTTGATTAGCTGAGCTAGATTATAATCAATATTGTTATTATAAGAACAATAACCATCATATTCTATTTCTAAAACTTGGATATTTTTACAAGTTTTTGCTAATTTATCAATATATTCAGAGCTATTAGAAAAACGACATATCACTTCATATAGATTTTGAAAACAAGTATCAAATCTACAATGATTGACCAGCCATTTGCACTCCAAATTGGTAGTTCTGAATTTTCTGATTTTTGAATGATCTAAAATGAATTTTACCAATCTTTCTTTTAAACAATTAATTTTAACAAACATTGGATCGATTAGTATCTGATGCAAATTTTCATTGCACTGGATAAAATCTAATTCTGTGGTAAACTCTATATAATTGTGTAATGGTGGTTTCTCCAGTAGATCGAAAATTAATTTAATCTTGTTTTCCTTTAAGAAATTCTCGTCTTCTAATAATAAACAATTGATTATTATTTTTCCACTGTCTACAGAGTAGAATGGATTTCTCCATAAAATTGGAACATTAAGGATGTGCCATTGTTTATTAACAAGAATGCAAGAATGTAGTGTTTTATAATCATCTTCAATGTGTTTAAATATTTCAGATAAAATTTCTGATGGCAAATAAAGCATTATTTTTTATTTTTGTAGCAATGAATGAAATAAAGGAAAAATTGTTGATTTGTTTTTTTTTAAATAGAATTGCGCCAATGTTACACATAATCGTCATAAATTCGCGCATAAAATAGGCCGATAATGAAAATTTTTCAAAAGTCTTGATGCTTTTTTATTTTGACTTTAAAATGCAAATTAGACTTATCAAAGAACATCACCAAATTTCTAATAATTTAAAAAAATTTGGTATTAATTTGATTAATTAATTTTTATCTTTTTTTATATGGGACACGCATTTAAAATTAATTAATTGCACGAAAACGTACTTGATAATAATTAAATAAACCACTTTCGGCTTAGGTTCATCCAAATTATATGCGCATAATTTTCATTTACCCTAACATTTTTATCGATCAAAATTTCTTTGTCATCAAAATTGGCCACCAAAGAAATTTTTCAATTGTCCGAAAACGCACATAATAATAATAATAATAATCAATAAATAAATTAATAAAGAATACATGCATGAACCCAATATTTTGTTGACCATACATTATTTTCAATTACTGCTTCGATTCTCTTCGGCGTACTTTCAATCTGTTTTATTAATATTAGGACATCTTTTGAAATTTTGCTCCATTCTTCTTGCAATGCAGACTCCAACTAGATAATATCTTTCGGACTTCTTCTAATTCTTCTTTCCAACTCTGACCACAGATGCTCAATTGAACTCAAGTCAGGTGACTGGCTTGACCAATTAGACAAAACATTAATCTCGTTTGCTATTTTCTACGATTCCCGACAATACGTTTCTCCAACAGAGAGTTTTCCCGACAACTCACTCACTCACTCATTCCATTAACTAAACTGACTTAATCAGCTTATCCGGTTAATAAATGGTCCAACAGATTAATCATATAATAAATAGATTAACCGGCTAATAAATGACTTAACAGATCAGCCAGCTAACATCATCAGATATATGTCATTCTTAATACTAACGGACAATGATAATGACGATATATATAGTCATGGAAGGAAAATTATGATAAACTGATAGACTGCAATAATCCATCTGGTATTCTATGTGATATATTAATATCGGATGTTCAAAAAATCGTGGCATTTTTTCATCGGCAAGAGTATCAGCCCCATTATAATCACCATTATTAATTTCTTCCAATTCTATTACTATCATTCTGGTATGCAATATATCACGTAAATAATTCTCTATTACTATTTCTTGATAAAATCGGTTTATGATACATATTCAATTGTATAATGAATTTGCTTTATATTCCTTTTTGTCTCTTGTCTTTATGACTACAATAAATTCACATAATAACATTGCAATAACCTTTTTATCATAAAGAATGAGTAAATCTACTGCATCTGGTTGTGTGTCTTTTACAAATTCCTCAAATCCAGAAGACCATAAATATGTATTTTGTTGAGAATTATTAGGTTTTGCAATAATAACATATTTTGTAAAATCTTTATCCAAGGACTCCTATATGTTTCTTTAGAAACGAATGATTTTTGAAAGTTATTTTGTATTTTGGAAAGTCAAGCATTTTCTAAATGAGTTAGTTGACTTTTTCTTTTAATGCATCCATAATAACGATAGTATTTCAATAATTCTAAGGCTGTTTTAAAACTAGCCATTTTTAAAACGAGAGAAATTCCCAAATTATAAATTTGGGTGATTTTATAATTGTGGGAATAAGCTATAAATAAGCTATAATGGACTTTATGACTATGTAAATGGCAGGACATAATCAATACGAATTGATAACTATGATGATATCAGGAAAAAGAGAAGAGAAATGTCAATAAATGCAAGGATGTTGATTCTGTATGTATTATTGCATTCATATGGTATTTTTTTTTTATCAAGAACAACCTTAAATGAATAAACAGAGAACCTTGCCTTTAGGAGTAGAGAGAGGCAGAAATTAATGCAAAATTATTTTTACAAATAATTCGTTCTATAATAAATAATATCACAAATTCAATAACAAATACTTTCGTTTGAAAATTTAACAGTAGGGTTTAATTGCCCATTGCTTATAAGAGTGGCATAGGTCTCCGAGGTTTTGGTTGTAAAAAGTTGAGTGTTTGCGTGTAAACATAAAAGTGTTGAAGTTGTTCGGCAGAGTATAAAGTGCTGACGGTTATTAACTGAAGTTGTTATCACATATTGTTATTGTACAGCTATTAAATAAGCAGCTCAAGGAGTCTTATAAAGAGAACAAACAAACTAACGGAGCTTTGGATCAGCTGTAAAAGCAAATAAAGAAGGAACTTTAGAAAGACATTTGCTGCTTTCTAAATGACCACGCTTTATTGTGGCTTACAGCTTTATAGGTACAAGCAAGCAGGAGAATTGGGATTGTTAAATAAATTAAGCACCTCTTACTGTATTTTTATTAAATAAAATTAATTGTTGATAAACTTTTAAAAATAAAAATAAAAGCATTATCTTTATTTTCTTTGTTTAAAGCAACAAGTATAGTTAGTACTATGGTAAAAGGTAACAATTGTGGAGCTTTGGTAAAAAATCACGTTTATTTACTTTAGTGAGCAAGCAAGCAAGATTAGGTTAACTAATGACGATTAGTAACGTGATTTGTTTTAGCGAGTAAGCAAAGATTTGGACTAACATTGGTTAACTAGTGGATGTTAATGAAACATCATCAAAGGTTGATTGGAAATATTGGTAATATTATTGTAATTGTAAATGCAAGGCTGTTAAACAAGCTACTTAAGTTGTTTTGCAAGTAAGCCAAAGTGAGTTTGCAATTGGCCAATGAATGTAAACGAATAAATCAATTAGAAATGAATAAAAAGGACTTTATAGAAGCCCTTGAGTCCATATTTATTTATTTACAATTATCTGGTACCATTAGGTGTGCTCACAGATTCGTCTAAGTGTCAAGAAAAAGTGAACCAAAGTAAGTTTGTAAACTAATTAATTGACAAGCACTGAATTATTTGCAATTAACTTACAAGAGTGGTCAAAAGGTTGAAATGATAACAAGAATCAAAAAGTTTATTATTCAAAACATTATCATAATTTAGCTTTAAGAATAAAATAAAGATAAAATAAAAAGACAAATAATAATTTATAGTGGAGATTAAATTAGTCATTCATCGATTATTTCTTTTAATTATTAGAATTTAATGTAAATAAAAAATATTGTTAGTAATGATTAATGGATAGTAATTTAATTAATTAATAATGAAATTTTTATTCACCTTCAGCATTTAAGAGAAGAGAGTTAAAATCAAGACTATTTAACGAACTATCATTACTTGTATAAATTTTTAAGCTTTTTGATTTAGCAATCTCTTCATCCAAGATTCTACTTGTATGATATGCATCTGGATGTGATTCATGTACTTGTTGCAAAGCACTACCACTATTATTATTATTATTATTGTCATCATTATTTTCACGAATTATTTCCCTATCTTTATTATCAGCAAATATCAAAAGCTCTCTAATAGTTGGTCTTTTTGATG